TGCAGTACAGGTGCTGAGCAAAAACCAGCTGATGGTTACAGTTATACGGTTATACCTGTGATCAAACTCACTAGTAGTTTCAGGAAGTTAAGGCACTGTGATCTGCAGACTGTGTAACTACTGGGACAAAACTGTCGTGGAATGCTGTGGACTTTGCCCCAAAATGTTTGCAAGCAATATTTATAGGGACTCAAATGGGGCTGGACAAATTTACTGAAGAAAAAAGAACTGTGAGCTGTTCAATCCATGAACACCACCTCTCCGTGAGCATGTCCCTGAGCCAAAATCACAGAGACTGAGAAGTCATTCTGGGGAAGTATCATGTAATGATTACTATTTTCTTGCACTCCTGCTGAGACATTCATTCTTGAGGATAAGACACCAGGCTTCACAGACCTTCCTGACCTGCTACAGATATCTCTTATGTTCCTCACCCCAGAGTGAAAATGGAAATCCAAGGCTCACAATCAGAACAGGAAGAACTGCAGAACAAGGATAAAATCAAAGTTATGTATCTGTCGGCAGCTGTCGAAGCACTCCGAGCTGCTGATACAGTGTTGTTTCAGTAGGAATCTTAATAAGATAGCATCTTGAATTACCATCTCCATATTCTTAAAGCATTTTATGTTTTCCCCTAGATCTCTGGAGATAAAATAGCTGCAAAGATATTTTTTATAGAGGAACGTTCCCCGTTCTGTTAATCACCGAGATACAATGGAAGAAGCAACAGCTTTAAGAACTGAGTTTGCTTGAAGTATGTTGACAGATGCTTATTAGAGACAGCAGCTGAACTACTAACTGCTGCAAAATATACATACTAGGCCACTGTTAAAGATAGACGGAGAATACTAGATTTTCTTCACTGTATGCAACACTCATCTCTAAAGCACCACTTCATCTAATCTCTTACAGTCAATCAAGCTTATGTATTGGTGAACAGTAAAACCCTGTTTCCTGTTACAATGTCACCAAATGCTTGGGAACCTAAAGCTTGAGAGACAACAGCACCAATATCCCATAGGTTGACATTTGGACATTAGCTAAAGATAATGTTTAATTAAGCGATATGTAGACTCTCGGTATATATATTGTAGCACTCTATTCTGGAAAAAAAAAAAAAATTGTTTGGCTTCTTTAGTCTAGAGGTGAGCAACCCACTGATCCTTTTGCTCCTTTCGATGTAGTGTGCATGCTGGATGAGGTACAGCCTGAGACAGATGTTTCCTTCCCAGGGTTACAGATGTATATGCAGGATTAGATGCCACAGATGGTAGTACAAATCCTGCAACCAGTCCAAAAGCTGGGCACAGGTCAAGCAGGTTGTGGGTCCTCAAGAAATACCTCACCTTCCTGCACTTGCTTGCAGGTGTTTCCTTTCATGCCTCTGCATAGATTTTCTAATGAAGTGTGTTTAAAATGCAATCCTGTAAAGACGTTCTAAAGAGCCACACTAGGAACACTAACTTCAGGCCCCAATTCAGCAAATATGTACCTAAGTGCTTTCCTGAATCAGGTTCTGAATTGTACTGAGGTAATGATCCCTGCAGGAAACCTGAAAGGTGATTATCTTTCTCCATTAGTAAAGTCTTTCTATACCCACACAAAAGATAAAGAATGTGTTCTGCCCAAAGAAGGGATGAAATGGATGAATGCAATAGGTCTCTTGCAATTGCGTTTGGTCAGACATGATGGCTGCAAATTGGTCTTAATAATGAGCAAAGGATAACATTATTATATCACATCTCATTGCCAGTAGAAGCAAGGATATCAGGGTGAGTGAAAATTACATCTGTCACAGGCAAGAGGGTCTAAAGAAAGCATCAGAGAGCTAGCCATCCCTATCCTTTCCCTTTTAGCGGATTTCAACCTTATCCATCATATGCTTTGGTATCTGAAATAAACTGATGCGACTCCACTTTACTCTGTGTCTGTTGAAAGACCTTTAGCTGTACAAACAGACTGAAGAAAAGGGCAGCATATACAGATGAGCTTCATTCTACTGGAGGTATCATGCAGGGAGAAACCCTTTAGAGATACACAACGGCCCATTGACTTCCTGAACACCCTGGAGGCCCTAGAGCACGTAGGTGTAATTTGTGGGAACCATATATTCTGCAACGTGTAGCTCTGCCTCTGTCCTACAGCAACTGGAGGTAAAGCATCAGAGGAGACATCTCAGGGATCCCTATGGCCAGAAGCAACAAGGCCTTGTTAGTTTAAGGCTAGTGACAACCACTAATGCTATCACTTGCCAGACATTGACAAGCATGTGAGAGAAGCCATACAAAAAAGAAAAAGCACCATCTAATTCAGTTCAGTCTCCCAACTGCTAACAGCAACAGCACTGTAGTGCTGAATTGATTCATCATAAAGGGATACCAGTATGTTGAATCTGGACTATTTTTTTTTTTTTGCAAAAACCATTGCAAAATGTGCATATATATTTTAATAAATTGAAAATTTAATTCTATATCTATATACATACACACACACACACACACACACACACACACACACGTGTACACCCATATATATAAAGTGAATACTTATTCCCTGATAAATTTTCACACGTGACATCCTGGGAATAACAGTGAACTTGGTCAATGCTTTTTCTTGGTAAAGGTCAAAAATTTGTAGAAGGGAAACCTGCAATATTCCTTCAGTCTGAGGGTGGGCTGTAACATAATGCGAATCGTGTTTCTGCATGTGTCGGTACCACTTAGCAGACAAGACCAAATAAAACAGAACTAGAGTTTGTCACCCACAGTTGTGTTTTCGTGGAGCTGAACAGACATGATCCAATGAAAACCTAAGGCCTCAACCCTGCACTGGGAAATTTTAGCAGAAGCAGGAATTAACAGTATAATCTCAGTGAATGCGCTGGTCTAGATTGCCAGTTAACTGTCCTGCCCTAGATGCAGTTGCATTTAGAGGCATGATTTTATACTACTCCTAAATTCCCAGATAAATACATGGAAATGCAGGGCATTTGTATCGCCTGTGACTCCCTCTTGAGAAAGTCTGGGATTGACTGGGCCTCTCGGGGAGCCTCGTAGCCTGTTCTGATGAAGTTATGGTATGTCACTGGCCACCCTGCAGGTAAAGGTGCAGCACATGAGCCTACCTACAGAGCAAGCCAGCAGCGAGCAGGAGCGGGAAGAAGGTGTCCACGGCTGGATCTAGGGGGTGACTTCAATCCAGCGTGGTGACGCTGGCTGGAGAAGACTCAGTGGGGGCTGCGAGCAGCTCCGGGCACGGAGGCGCGCGGCGGAGGAGACGCCAGGATGCGTCTGGAGGAGGGGTGAAGAAGGACTGGTGGCTCCAGCACAGAAGTCAGAGCCGAAATCCAAACAGAAATAACCCAGCCCAGGGCTTTTTTATTTAGACGCTGAGCTCAGGGAAGTGGTAAAAGTGGCGGCCACCTGTTTGCTGAACCAGAAAGGGCATTTCCCTGCCCTAGCGTCCGGGGACACATCTCCTCCTCAGCCGCTCCTCTGTCCCATCCCTCCCCTCCGCCATGAGGGGGGCAGGCGGCTCCGCTCGCCCGGCGCTCCTCGGCGCCCAGGGCAGCTGTAAAAGCACCGAAACACCCGGGACACCCCGGCTA